GCCCAAAATGGATTCTAAAAATTGTCAGATGGTACGTATTGCTCCCCCAACTCCCTACTAAGGGTTTCGTAAAGATTTCGATTAGAAATCATCCGTAGGTCATATCACCAATATATTAATGGCTAACAGACACGAAAAACTGAGAAAATTGTCCAATTTCTTTAAATTGGCCCCTAAATGCCTAAAATGGACTCTAAAATTGTGAGATTGTACATACTGCTCCCCTGACTCCCTACAGAGGGTTCCGTAAATATGTAGCAAATAAATCGTCTGAAAGTCATATCACCAAATATTAATGGGCTAACACACACAAAACACTGAGAAAGTCGCCTATTCCTGTAAATTGGCCCCTAAATTGTAAAATCCGACAAATTGAAATAACTATGAAGAGGCTTAGAATTGGAAATAGTTATTTTTGGAAAGAAAAAAAAATATCTGGAAAATTTGGTTAAGTATGGGAAAAAGTGAGTTTTTGGCCAACTTTGAACAGTCATAACTCCTAGCTCAGGATGATTTAGGTGTAGTTCCAGTTATTTTTGCGAAGATCGTTGAATGATCTTTCCAACGATGCCAATTTTACATGATTTCGAGTTCGTATGAGTGAGTTATGCCCTTTGGAAGTTGGGCTGTTGGCAGGGCAGTTAGCCGGAAATTGTAAGGGTATTTTGGTCTTTTCCCTAATCAATTCTTTTGGTTATATTAGTGTGTTAGACTGAATTTAGATCAGTTTTTACCATTTTAAAAGAGTGAGAGTGAGGGTTAGGGTTCTTGAGAGAAGAGGAGAAGGAGAAGAAGAAGCAAGGTTCGTAGAGATCGTCGTGGATTTCGTCGGGGGTGATCCCTATTAAGGTATGTGAGTTCATAGTGTTGGGTTGGTTCTTTCCCCCACATGCCACACTCGTTTTATTTTTGAGAAAAGATTGGTTGTGTTGTTGAATTTTTGTGGTTGTTCTTGTTGAAGTTTGTGGTTGTGTTGGTTGAAGTTTGTGGTTGTGTTGTTGAAACTTCTTGTGGGTTTGGTGCATGTTCCCGGATGGAATTCTGAGTTAAATCTATTGTATATTGAGGGTTTTAATGATTCTAAGTGATTTGGGGAAGAAACCATTCGATTTTAGGCGAAATAGGGTGAGAAAACGAGAAAATAAACTTGCTGAAATTTCTGGGTTGGGGGCCTGCGCCTGCCAGAGCGCCCCAAACCCACCTCTGAAGTTTAGGGGCTGGCGCCCCGCGCCACCCATAGCGCCAGGGTCGCCTACCCCATCCAATTTGTCGTCGGTTGCCCCGTTTGAGTTCATTAAAAGTGCACCTTCACTCCTTTTCGATTCTAACTACTCTAAGCTACTTCTAAACACCTAAAAGTCATTCCTAATATGATCATAATCTTGAATTCATAAATTCAAATTCAAGGTAGAGTTGAGAGTTTATGTTTTTGAGAATTCTTTCGAATATTCTAAGAAAATCCCTTTGAGTCTTTCTGAGGAGTCTTCTACAATTTCTAGTAACTTGTTTCAAGACTCGAGCAAGTGAGTAAGAGAATGAGAAGTGTCGTACACATGAGTTCCATGTAGCTTGTACACCTTCAAGTCAAGTTGTTCATGCCCATAATTCAACATGAACCATATTTTAAGAAGTCTTTTACAAATGTTTAAACCTTGTTTTAAGACTTAAGCTTTGAAGTTAAGTATTGAGTTCCAAGTTAAGTATAGAGTTTCAAGTTAAGTAAAGAGCATACAGTTTCAAGTTAAGCCAAGAGTAAGAGTCAAGTTCATTTCTCAAAAGTTATTAGGGAACTAAGTATTCCCAAAGAAGTTTATAAATGTTTTCACATTTAAGATGAGAGAAAACTGAGATTTCCAAAAGAGTTTTGAGAAGTTTGAGTACTATCTCTTTTTGAGAAAAGATGAGCTTTGCGAAAGAGTTTCAAAAATATGATTAATATGACAAATCGAGTATGTCATAAATGTTTAAACAGTATGGTCTCTAGATATACCATCAATGTTTAAGCAGTATGAATATCCCGAGTCATCGATGATCATATAAAAATATGGTTTTGAGATGTTCTTTTTAGAAAGAGTTTTCAAGAGCCTTTGGGCTAAGTTTTGAGTAATTATCTCAACTAAAGAAAGATGTGTTTAAAACACTAATGAGCTAAAGTATTTTTGGGAGTAGTCTTGAGCACCGAATTGGGGACACGAGTTCATATTAACTCAACTCTCCATAAGAACCATGTAGCTAAACAAGGGATTTCTCGGGTCATACTTTTTAGATGATCACGAAAGTTAAGCTAGTGGATCAACTAAGCAAAAGTTAAAGTAAGGTCCTATATCACGGAAAGGTATAGGATGGTCCTCGGGCAACGTGAGGTAAAACGTTGTATCATCACTAGGACTCATAGTGGTGGTTATTGGTTAGAGAAACTCCCACAGTAGAAATTGCATGGTTCCTCGAGGGGTTCTGCTTAGTATGGATGGGGGTATGGGACTTCATTCATGCATTGCACAAGTAGACTTTGAGAGGAAGCATGGTATTTTCATGATATTATAAATATGATTTTGACGTCATATTTTAAATAGTTTTGCCAGCTTTATATATATTGCATGTGTCTCATTGCTTTAAATTGAGTTCAGTTACTCATGAGTTGAACAGAGCCAAGGTAAGTTCTCTTTTGTACACCTTTCAAGCTTAAGTTGTTGTTTAGCTGTCCAGCTCGCATACTCGTACATTTCATGTACTGATGCCAGTTGGCCTGCATCTTATTATGATACAGAAGCAGGCAACCAGGATCAGCATCCAGCACGCCGTTGATCCAGCTGAGCACTCCATAGTCAGTAGTGAGCCTCCTTACTTTTCGGAGGACCCTGTTATTTTGTGTTCCTAGTTTTGTTTAATTAAGATGTTGCGGGGTCTGTCCCAACATCCATCTCAGTGTTATAGAGGCTTCATAGACAGTCAGTGAGTTAGTTTTGAGTCTCTCATCTATGTATATATGTAAATATTCTATTTTGAGACTCGAGTTGCCTTTTTGGCCAGATTTTTATCAGTTAGGTTGTCTTATGACCTTTCATTGCATGAAGTTATTCTATTGAGTTAGGTTTCCACTGAGTTAAGTAAGCCAGGCCAAGGGTTCGCTTGGGGGCCAACAATGGTCTTCGAGTGCCGGCCATGTCCAGGGTGTAGGCTCGGGGCGTGACATAAATGCCCAAAATGAACTCTAAAATTGTGAGACTATAGGTACTACTCCACTAACTCCCTATGAAGGGTCCCGTAAAGATTTTACAAAGAAATTTTTCGGAAGACATATCACCAAAATATTCATAGGCTAATACAAACGAACTGAGAAGATCACCTATTTCCTATAAATTATCCCCTAAATGCCCAAAATGGACTCTAAAAAGTGTGAGACTAACTCCCTACGAAGGGTTCCATATAAGTTGCACAAAAGAAATCGTCCGAAAACCATATCACCAAAATATTTATGGGTTAACACACACGAAAAACTAAGAAAATTGCCTAATTCTTTGAAATTGGCCCCTTAATTCCTTTACGAGATTAATTAGAGATGCATATATATATATATATATATATATATATATATATAAAGAAGAAGCTAGTTGTAGGGCTTGATTGCCATAAAATACTTAGACGATGTGGGTGACGCACATAGTGAATCTCATGAATTGACTTGTGGATCATTGTGATATTGGGCCATGAAACTTAGTCTGAGGGAAAGATTGTTGGGTGTGAGATTGAATTTCCACATTTGAGAAGCTATATATAAGGTGTAGGATCGCTTAAGGGAAAATTTCATATATGACAAACGTATTTAATGAAATAACACTCTATAGGTATAGTTTAGTAATTACATTCAATGGGTATAGTTTAGTTTGCTATGAAGCATTAATTTTGTATATTTTCTTTCAAAAATATAATTTATACAAAAAAAAATTTTAATAAATGGATACATGAGTGCTAAATATGGTAATAAAAAATTTACATAATCCCATTATTCAAGCTAATCGTCCAAAATTAAATATTTTTCCAAAAAAAAGTTCTATAGCAATAGAAACACCATAACAACTGGGTTCCTCAAATGACTGAAGCATACGATTAATCAATATTCTTGTATATTCAACGCTAGGTAAGCATTTCTTTCAAGGAAACTTCATGTTTTGAACGGCAAGAAAGTATACAATTGATTTGTATAGTATATAATTGAAATTTTGGAAAATGGATTATTTTTGTTTTTTTCATTCTAATGGTTCACAATAATTTAATTTTGTTTATACAAGATTAGATAAATTTTATATTAACAATTCAATTCTAATTTTTTGTTCGAAAAATTGAATGACACAATTTGTATATATGAAGTGTATATGATTCGACAACAACGGTGTGCTTTAATTTGATAATCTTTGTTGTTGTTGTTGTAATTTTATTGTATATATAAGTTATACGATTTGTATATTGTTTAATTGATAATATTGTATATACGTAAGTAATTGTGTAAAATTCTTATCCCATGTATAAGTGTAAGTAGTTGTATAAAATTACTAAGTCAATTATATATATATGAATTGTATATGATTCGATAAAAAAGGTGTGCTTTAATTTGATAATTTTTGGTGTAACCTAACTGTATATATAATAATGTAAGGTTTGTATATTGTTTAGTTCATACTATTGTATATAACTTACAAAATATACAAATATATATATATATATATATATATATAATATACAATTGTGATTTAAGCAGAAAATATACATATACTACATACAATTTTGTATATAACTAACAAAATATACAAATATCTACATACAATTGTGTTTTAAGCAAATACCTGATGTTCTTTGTATTTGTCTTGATCTAATGAAGGAGACACAACCTCCTCAGAATCACTATCTTTGGCTTTCCTCTTACTTTTTCCTTCAACAATTTTAATGTCGCTTGCCTTGACATTGTTGATGACTTCTGGAAGTGCAATTGGGTCATTTTTTTCTTGGATCTCAATTCTGCAATAGATTTTTCCTCTAGAATTTGTTTAGATTTTTCCATAGACCCTGCATTGACTCCAAAATCTTGAGTGAAACCGACTGAAAATGAAGGTTGATTATTAAAAACTTTGACATGCAATGACGTACCTCTCGTAATCCGCTTAGATGGAGTCGAATCATCCATTTTATTTTCTATAAAAATGATAATCTAATAAGTAATGAGGGAATTTTGAGAAAAAATTATCCAAACACTAACAAGCACAATACATATACAATTGAAAAATGAAAAAAAAGAAGAGGTTCACCTACGATTTAGGCAGTTACCTGCAAAAAGTAAAACACAATTGGAGGGAGAAAGTGAAATTCGAATTTCAAATTGGAAGTGAAAGAGTTATTTTAGGAGAAAAATAGGAAATGAGGAAAGGAGAGGAGATGAGAGATAAATTTGATTTGTATAAAATCATATACAAAGGCCGATGAAGGTTTTGTTGATTCGGTATACAAAGAGGTGGTGGGTCTCATTTTTAATGGCAAAAAAACTGAAACTGTATTTACTGACAGTAAGTAAATTAAACTATACCCTACCCTCAATGACTAATAACCTAGTAATATTTGTCAACTCGTGTAATTTTTTCATAATGTGTGAGACTTTTTGAAGAAAAAAAAAACTGTGCTAACTTGGTCAAAGTGCACAATATCATACTCTATTTAGAATATCTTTGGGCTAATTTATCCGAACAAAAATAAATAAGGCCTAAATCTAAGACCATTAGCCGTTACTTGAAGACAAGACATTCATCATTTGAACTATTGAATTATGGACACAAGTCAAAGAATCTTCCAACTATTCAAGAAGTGTAATTAATACTTAATAAATATAATGTCATCCTCAATAACTTCAAATAATATCCAATAATCAATGTTAAATTTTGATATTAGTAGAAATAGTTAATGAACCCCAAGTTGTATAATTTGATTGTTGGAATAGAAGTCAATCAAAAATTTAATTTTTTTAAGAAATAATCTTTTTATTGTGATTCAATAATGTAATAACACAAGCATTTACAATACACATAAATTTGCCATGTCAGCATAAGGTGTTCATGAGTGCGTATATGACAATAGTAAAAGTATTTATTTGGTCTCTTTTAGATAAATTTAAGTATCTAAATTACAATTTGTGTCAAATTTGAGGGATTATCTAGATATTTAGATAAGATTATTTATATATAATTATCTCTAAACAGGCTCATAAGCCAGTAAATGATACTTTATAAATAGCTTCAGTTGTAAGTGTTTCTCTTACAAATTCAAATTAATCTAATGACAGAACCTTTTTATGATTTGACTGAAGAGGTTTCTGTGTTGCTGGTAAGATGAGGAATTGGTTTCTAATCCAATGGTTGATTTACTAGAGTTCAATGGATACAAAGGTGATATATCTAGAACTAATTTCTGTATGACTTTCATTATATATAGAGAGAATTAATTGATATGATGTTTATTTAGAACTTTTCCTTTCCTTGTTATCATAACATTATTTCTATACTTGTGTATGTCGTTTTACAAGTTAATAAATGAATTTTGTATGATTATAAAGAATTAAATTAGATTCTCCATTTTTGTTTTTGTTGTAACCATGTCACATATTAGCTTTCTCCATAAGGATTGTGTAATTTTTAAGAGGTTCAATAATTTTATGTTAAAGTATGTGTTGTTCTAATTTTATCGGATATTTTTCCATAAAGGAGATAGTTTAAGTTTATATTAATTATTTCACACTTGACTTTTTTGTACAAAAAATAAAAAGGAAACTAATTCTTTGTCAATCAGCCTAGAGTTACATCGTGTTGGAGGAGAAAATAATTAGGTCCCTCATAAATGATTTTGAAATCATAGATCTTTGATTTTTGCAAATCTATATATCGTTTTAGAAAGAAAACAAATTCACTTGGATGATTGAGGCACAAAATAAGAGTAAGGGATCGAAGAGAGGAGCGAGATAAAGACATGATAAGAGATGATCTGGCTATCATTATTATCTGAGATGACTTTTTTGTCTTTTATTCGATGTAGACAAACAAATAAATAGGGACTTATGATTTTCATGATTTTTTTCTTCAATTTCTTTTTTGTCTTTTATTAGATGTAGACAAGAAAAGAAAAATCTTTTCATGTGACTTTTTCCTCATTTATTTTTGTTTTATTTTCAATTACTTTGTTAGTATTTAATATCGATTGTTCCTTAATCAAGCTATGTTAAACCTTTTCAACATAATTTTTTTGGTAACTCCTTTCTAATAATTTGTTAAATCTCCTAAACTCTCGTTACTTATTTATGAAATAAAATTACCTTAAAACTTTTTACATAAATTTATCTTAAAACTTTTTATCCTATTATATCTTGCTTTAATAGTATTTAATCTATATATATTCAGTGTTTATTTGCTTTCAACAAGTCAAAGAATAAATTAGAATGTATTCTTTAGAATTATATTCCTATAGAATCTTCTCTATTATATATTCCTACAGTTAGTTACTCTAAAGTAATATTATATATTAGTAAGTGTAACATCCGGCAATGTGAAATAAGTGAAGAGGCTTAGAATTGGAAATTTTCATTTTTTGGAAAGAACTTGAAATCTGGAAAAAAATTGGCTAAGTGTGGAAATCAGTTATTTTTGGCCAACTTTGAGCAGTCGTAACTCCTAGCTCAGGATGAGTTAGGAGTAGTTCCGGTTATGGTTGCAAAGTTCGTGGAACGATCTTTCAAACGCCACCGAGTTTGCTCAATTCCGAGTTCGTATGAGCGAGTTATGGCCCTTTGAAAGTTGGGCAGTTGACAAGGAAATCCGTCCGGGAATCATTAAGGGCATTTTGGTCTTTTCCCTAGCTATTTCTTTTGAGGATATATTGTTGTATAGGGCTGATCTTTGGATCATTTTGTTCCATTTTAAGAGAGTGAAGGCTAGGGCTTAAGAGTGAAGAAGAGA